GTATTCTTTAATCTCTTTTTATTGTGTATGTCTATCTATGTCTGTTGTTATTTGTGTGCTGTAAGTAATCCAAATAAATTATATATCTATGTATATTTACTATAGGGAGACTTTGTACAAAAGTCGTCTGCATGGGCAACTCTATTCCATATGTGTTACTAGCATGAGTAAGCTGCACTTGTTCGGTTATATAACATCATAGTCCTGGGGGAAAGGGATTGTTAGTAATGGGGTCTAATTAATCCATTGCTAGCAATACAGCCTATCAGGTCGATCTCCACGAGGTTTCGCTTGGAAACCGTCGTGGTTAATTCTAGTGGAAATTGTCACGATGGGCTAACTAACCTGCCTTTTCATCCTCTCCTGTCATCCCTCACTAGTGCCGCGCCAGCGTATCTCAATAACGCAGGCGGATTTACCATACCACCATTTGTTTGCTATTCTACGTATCATAAAAAATGAGATAGGTCGTCTGATAACTTACTCGTATTCTCAATAACTCTTTTATAAATGTAAATTTCTATGTTACTTCTTGGGCCCTAAACGACTTAACTAATCGTCATAAAACTATGCCAGTCAATCAATGTATATTATATATACATTATTTAGTCATTAAATATAGATTCTTTTATTCCATAATGAATGAAGGAAGATCACCTGGAAATATCCTGATTCTATGTGACAACCGACCGAAATCTACTTATTAGGTAGAGTATAAAATGCCCTTTGATAGGTCCTATAATTAGTAATTAGTTAAATTGCTACACAAATCAAAGATTATGAGTAATAATGGACGAAAATTAATAATATGCAAAATTTTTATAAGTACATATAACTTTTACTTTGAAGATTAACCCTCTTGTCTGCTTATAAATTACGCTACATGGTAATCTATTTGATCCTAATTTGATATTTAATGTGATAATTAACAGAAACAATTTGGAATCTTGTTCCACAAAATAAAAGTAATGGGATTAAAACAAGAGAAGAAAAAAGAATTCTTGAACTGGAAATCCCCTTTTGAAATCGTTTAAAATGAATCGTTGAAAGGAAATTAAATTTTATTTAGCGAGTGAATAGATTTATTTGGCGTTTACAAATAGGTACGAGGGTTTCTTTATGATAGCATAATTTATACTGTTTCACTATATAGCTCTAAAATTAATTGAGTTGCGGTTTCCGCAATGTATGAAATGTAAAAACAAGATAGCAGAATTAATACTGGTTCATATTTGCATTGATATAATCGCCCTAAATTCTACCATTTTGTGAAGGGACCGCAAAATAACACGTAGATAGATAATGAAAGTACCTACATGTCTTTTTTTATAATGAGTATTGTAAAATACCGTAAGGTTTTATATTCGAAATGTACAGAGAAATAGAAAGTATAAATAAAATAAGCGCGAAACGACCCGAGGAAAATGGAAAACTAATAAATATATGTACCTACCAAACCTGGGAGCATGTGATTTGCCGTTGAAAAAGTAATCGGAAAAGTGAGAAAGTTTGGAATAAAAGTCGACAAAAATGAAAATTGATTTCTTGAATTATAATAGTTTTATCTGGGGTACGCTCGTTGACATAATTTTTGCCAATAAGTGACATACAATGACATTTAGGAACTTAGTTTATGATTTTAATAGGATTAGAAATAAGGAATATCTAGGTGCATAATCCAGACTTATAATTTATGTGTATTTAAATTTTTAAGGGTTTACTTTGTAATCTTTAAATATTAATATTTAAAACTTTAATTAATACTTTTGATCTATATGAGGAAGATCAACGTGTACCTAACAAGAAGCATTATTTAACCAATACTAAAAACAGAAGATTGAACTACAATTTTTATTACTATAATTTGTTTTTTACCTAATTATATGTTTACCTATATCACTCAAAGTAAAAAAAAATTCACCAGATATAGAATATTAAAAAATATTGGTTATCTACATAATACCAGATATGTTGGTTTGATGCGCTTTATCCCACATAATCTTGTAAAAACCCTCGGAATGTCCGAAAATAGGTATTTATGTGAATGCATCGAATTTATTATACTAAGGTAACTTAGAATAATTTTATAAGGTAGTATACTCGTAATTCTAAACGTGCTTTTACAGTATGCTCAATACCGATCTGTTTTATGAGCACAGAATTGAGATAAAAATCTCTATTTGATATGTATAAAACAGGTGTAAAATTCTCTATTTGAGAAATACCGTTTGTTTAAAATTAACCTTTTTATATATTGACAATTGTAGTTTTTTATAAAAAAAAATATTTATTACCAATTGCAAATAAAACAAAAAATACATATACTATACAATACTTCAAGTCAACAGACGGCATTTTTACTTATGAATAATATAATTAATAAATAATATATACATAACAAGAACCAGCATATTTTACAAACATCGTTTAATTTATGGTTGATAAAAATAGTATTTAATTGATGCATCATGATATAAGGGTTTTTCAGTGATCACATAGTCTTGGACTTAGATATAAAAAGCCCAGCTAAAGCCGGAAAAATTGTATTCTTTACTGCACTCTAAAATATGCATACATACATTCAGTAATACTACGAGTATTAATTATTAGAAACAATGTGAGTAAAGATAAACATATCTCTAAAAGAGATCTCTTTCAGATCTTCTTTCTAAAATAATAATATATTTATAAATAAACGTAAAACTAATACGACAGTAGAAAGATAAAGGCAAGTGAAGGAACCAATAGAGGATTTTTTTAAATGTAAATTAAAGGTAGTTTATTCTATTTAAATTTCTGTGTTACAGTGACAGGCAAAGAACATGCAGCGATTTGATTCAAGAATTGTGTTCCTTAGTTGATGTGTAGATTTTTGTTTCTTTAATTAGCCCTACGATTGACATTTTTTGCAACTGATAACCCTAACAGTATAACGATGGTAAGAAAAAAATAAAATACTGCAAAATATACATACTATGTATTACTAATGAATTCCATCAAATAAATAGACAGTAACTGGTTTGGTTTCTAAAGATTGTCGACGTAGATAAAGTGATTTATAATTAACTCCTATCTAGAAATGGTTCCGTTTCTTTAAATTGAATGGATTAACTCACCGATGTTTGACGGCGAGGGAGATATGAGAGTGTTAATTTGCATTACAGTGGTATTTATATTATCTGTGTTCATTCGTGATCTAAGTAAATAAAGCTTAATTATGTAAAAATATATAATAAAATTGGGAAGTTAGAAACAAAAAAAAATTAAACAGCAGCAAGTATTATAAATATTTTATTAGCTACTTTTAATGAAAGTTTATACCGACCATATTATTAAATAGGCACAGGATTAGATAGATGAAAAGATAGGTGTTTTAAGCCGAAATTCAGTTACCTATCCCCAATATCCCTTATTGGGAGGAAAGGGATTGTTAGTAATGGAGTTTGACGGCCCCATTGCTAGCAATATGCCTTATTAGGTCGACCTCCACGTGGTTCCCCCTGGAAACCATCGTGAACAATTCTTGTTGAATTTGTCACGATGGGCTAACTGACCTAATTCATCCTCGCCTATCATCCTTCACTGGTGCCCCGCCGGTGTATACCGATAGCGCGGGTGGAGTTACTATTCCATTATCATCCATTAAAAAAAATCCCTTATTGTCTTTTCCATTGCTCTGTAAATGTTGAAGAGAAGACTCTTATGGAAACGACGTGTAAAAGAATAAAAGCATTTGAGATTCGAAACGGGAGTTTCCAGGATAAAGTTAGAATAATTTTGGAGTGGTCTACCACATAACCACTCAAAACAAACATAAGCATTGTAATTTAAGGCACTTCATAAATTGTCTTAATGATTTGCTGATATATTTATAATTATATTAAAACTGAGGTTGATTAATGAAGTATCGCACGCCAATACTTGATATGTCACGCTTCATTGTGCTCCATATTCCGATAAATTATAGGATAAAGTGCGAACATTTCTACGAATTACAATAACAGACGACTGGGTATACAGAAGATCAAACTGATTATATCTTTCCTACAGTTTCTCGAACAAATTACTATTCTATTTACGTTCTAATATTTTTTTGGGGTGCCATTTTTTTTATTAAAATAATGTCTTATCTTTGCACATATACCATTAAAATGTTAATTAATAAATAAAGTTTGGCAGATGTGTGTGTGTGCGTGCGTGGTTGCGTGGGTGCGTGTGTGCGTTCATGTTTGGTTGCGTGTATGCCCTCGTGTTTGTTTGTGTAGTCACATATTTCCAAGTAACAACTGTGTAGTTTTTGCAATTGAATAACATATTATATATATATGTTTTAAAAACTCATATTGGTACGTAAGAATATGAGGAACAATTTAATATTTCAATGGAGAAATATATTCATTGATTCATATATACATACGGTAGATACTAAAGAGTAATATAGTCGGCTGTAGAAAAATGTATGTCGACCAAATAGATAAGTAGAAAGAATATTTTAGAAATGATTATGACACCACATTGATATAATGATGATAAAATCTATATAGATAATTTCAATGCAGTGAGTAGGTAGGGGGGAGGGGTGTTACAAGTGAATGTTTGTCTGTTTGTACGGGCTAACCTTCGAAATTGTTGCCAATTTAAATGAAATTACATGGTGGTACCTTACATCCCCGGTCAACATTTTAAATTATTTTTAATCACGGAAAATGAAAGTGTTTTCGTGGGATAGTTAAAAAACTATAATAATTTATACAGCTTAGTACACAACCTACTTAAGTAAAGTTATTTTGACCTAAGGCAAAGAGTGAGAACGAGACGTTATTTGTTAATTTTGGTCTAGTATTCCCAAACATAATAAATAGATAAGTACAGACATCGATACATACTAAAAGGAATAACAAATAGCACGCGGGCAAAGTCGCGGGTATCAGCTAGTTAAATAATATATAGGTATTGTGCATATACAAAATACAAAATGAATATATGTTTTACAAACTAACCTCAAATCCAAATACTTCACTTTAGGACCATACATTTTCTGTAGTGCGGTGGGTATCCTGTTGCAATCTTGACCACAATAGCTTAACTGTAACAATATAGATTTGAATATTTAAAATTAAACATTTCAAAGAATGATATTACATTTATTTTATTTCTGTTTAAATATGGACTAGTGAGTGTTTATTAAAAATAGCCTTGAAAGCTAATAAAGGGAGAAAGCGGTGAAAACTCAGTTGGTGAAACTCTTGAATATTATCATAGGATCTCGAGATTAAATCCTTACCTAGAAATTTTGGTTTTTTCAGTTTGTTATTATTTGATTATTAAATTATAATATACTCTACGTTTTGATCGATGTAAACATATCGACATGTAACCCATGTCAGAGGTCTTAGTAAGTGAGTTTCGTTAGAAGACCGCCTTAGTTGTAACAACAACTAAGGCGGTCTTCTAACGAAACTCTTAACGCCAAGACGTTAGAGTATCAACCCTCACACTACAAGCAGTGCTTAGTAGATTAGTTGTATGATAACAAATAGTTCGAGTTTCCCTTATGCGGTTCCAAGTAAAACAGTGGGGATCACTATTATCTATTTCTTGGGAACTAAGTTTAATGTTTTCCGCGCAGCGAGAGCCACTCGTAGTTTCACAAAATACCCAAATATTAAAGCAGATTTTTCAGAAGTGTGTGAAACCTGGGTCTAGGGAGGATATCCAAATGAAAATGTGAATCACAAATATATTCCAATATATTTTTCATTAGATACAACTTTATTTTCTCTGGAACAAAATTACTTTCGACATGAACATTTGCAATATAAAGTCAAACACGGTAGAACATCATGCTCTTTTAATTAACGATTGTAGAAATCACGTCGAAGATTGCTAAAACCATCAAAGCTATACTTGTTTATTTATTTATATTAAGGTAAAAATAGTCATGTACATTTAGACAAATAATATAATTACCTTGCAGTGCTTTCATAGATCATAATAGAACTAAGTGGATAAAACATAAAGTAACAGTAATTAAAAAAAGAAAAAAAAATAACATGTCAAATTATTGTTATTTTATTTATATTATAACAATGACAATGATTATTTTATAATTTAATATATTGATTTTGCCATGTGGTCCCGGTATAGAATAGGGCATCCCTTCCTTTCCCGTGAGTGTCATATGAGGTGACTAAGGGAGGGTGAATAGGTAGCAGCGTCCCTCTTAAAACATCTCCAAAGCCTAACTGCGGTTGCTAATCCGGCTGCTCAGTATGGCAACCACTGGCAAAACCCTTTAAGGGGAAGTATATGTTCAGCAGTGGACAGTTAAAGGCTGATAAGAATGACAATATTTATTTTTTACATAATTTTATCATTCTCATTTTTACAGTTTAGTGAAGAATTGTCAGAAAATAACTAAAATATTTTACATTTAATTTGGGATTATTGTTTTTTAACACATAAATTCCATGATACTAAAACAGGTTATCTACTACTGTAACTAAAACAAACCGATTTCATTTAGGTACTAATTTTACACACATTTAAACGCAAGGCAGTTTCGGCAGGCGGAGCATCCATTATACTCTGAACAACAATTAATATAAATGTAACAATTCCATTTATTAGAAATCAAACCGTTTAAGCTTTATCAATGATTGCGCCAAACATGGATATACATATATGTGCTTTCTAAGGTTCCGTATCAAAAAGGCATAAAGGAACCCTTATGGTGCAATTTTCTCCGTCTATCACAGCTTTATATCTCAGCAGCTACTAATGTTATGAGTTTGAAATTTGGATTAGTTTTACATATTATTGGCCTATATATAATGTAACGGAAATAACTAGAAAAATTGAAATAATAACAGTTTATAAAAGTTGTTGTTGTTGTATCAGCCGTTACTATCTACTGCTGAACATATCTTTCCCCATGATGGGGGTTTTGCCAGTAATTGCTACGCTTGGCAGGTGGGTTGGCAACCGCAGTTTGGTAGCAGTCTATATAGGTACAAATTAATATTACAGGAAAAATAAAACAATGTTTCTAACTAGCACTGTTTTTGAGAAAATATCAAAAAACCTTCAAAAACAAACTTAATTTTGCGAAAAGGAGTCTAACCACATTTACGATTTAAATGCGGAAATATTAATTAAAATAAGAATATTAATGATTATTAGGTTTGTATTTCATATAAAAATAAACCATTTTATATAAAATATTATGAACTTACATATATATAATTTTCCATTTGATTTTTAGTCAATAGATGGAATAGTTAAAAATAGAAATTGATGTGTTGTGTATATTATGATAATGGCAACTTTTTAACACATTTGTCTTGTAGTGGTTTGTATTTTCTTGGTGTTTCGATGTATTTTTGAAGTAACGGCGAGTATACAACATATTTCAATATATTTTTTTTTATCTAAAGAAAACAAAATCTTTTTCAGAGACATTTTATTTACGGAACCCTAGACAAGTGAGTTCAACTCACACTTGACCGGTTTTTTATTTACACAGGCCCGGAAAACTTTATTTCCTTTTCTTCAAACAAGTAAAAGAAAATTTGCTGGTCTCAAATACGGAGACAGTAAATACATATACGAAAGGTTTCAAGAATTCAATTTAAGTATACAAATTCTCATGAAAATCAACCGACCGTATTTCACAATTTTTTCCTTTTGCATAGTACGATATTGCCGCGGTTTCGTATTTCATTATACATTCAGCAGGGACTTCAATGGATTCCGGTTTCAAAATTAGAATTGCTTTTGTATGTTTTTGGAAAAGTAAATACATTACAGTCAAGATTGGCTTTTGTCAATATCAATATTCAATTAAAAAGCATAAAGATGCGCACACATTATTTGCTTATTATGGGACTTTGTTAAATACATGAGATAATGATTGGTGAAATCTGATCTCCTTTCTTTCTTACGTGAGATTTATTCGAATAAACAGTTAATATCCATATAAATGAGATTTCGTGACATTTTGCCAGATTTCCCAACCTTATTTTAAATTTATGTAATTAACAGACACGCCTTATATATTGAGCAACAGTCCTCAGTTACAAGTTCCGATTCGACTAAAATGTTATTAGGCTCATAGTAATCAATTGAGTCTTTCTGATATTATGAAATATACTCTATCAATTCTGTTATTCGGTTGTAATTAGTTTATTTATACGGTCAGAGGACTCAGACAATACGCAATTGAATTTAATTATTTATACATAATCAATATAAATGAACGTATGTAATTCAATATAGTGGATCTTATGATGTTAGCAGACACAGTAAAAGTTAACTGTCTTGTTGGGAGTTTTTATTTCCAGTCACATTGTTCTTATTACGACATTATTTTCCTTTATTGCGGCCATTTTATTAGTTGTTATATTTCTTTTATTTTCTCGATGATACCTGATGCGGCGTATTTAACATGACCATTAATATAATATCTATATACTTATTTTTATGAACAGCAATATAAGGAAACTCAATATACTCGTATATGGTTTTTTCACCATAGAACATTATTTATTTACTAGCTGCATTCAGCTATAGTCGTTTGAGCTTGGATAAAAATTTACCCCATCTGTTAGTCTAGGACATAGTCTGTATGTAAATTAAAGTTTAAGTATACAAGTAATAAACTAAAGATGTAAAAGTTAAAATTTAAATACACAATTTGCCAGTCAATAATTTTGTTTTCGATGAAATTTTTTACATTACTATTAAAGTAATTTACATACAAATTAATGAAGACAATGCGTGTGAAGTAGATAATTTATAATATTAGTAAGAAATATAATTAGTAAAGTTTTATTGACACAAGTAACAATATTCTATTGATAGTTAAACATCGGAAAATACTATTATTTAGTAAATATAAATCTAGTTGATAAACAATGGATAATATATTCCGGAAGTATACTTTTAATGTTTTTTTATAGTTTTGATTATACTCGAGAATTTGAAGCGATGCGAAACGTACAACTAAAAAAATTATAATAAAGTAAGTAAAATAGCGTTGCTTATTTGGCATCGCTACAATATAAGTTAGGTTCATTTGGGTTTATTTAATGTTTATGATATTGAAGCTTGATTATTTTGTAATTTACAAAGGGAGGAAATTCACAATTCGTCTGTGTTTTTGTGTATGCTACGGTTACGTTGCAAAATATTTCTTAAAGCTGTATTTCTTAGCGGATCTAAATTTACTTGTAGATACAAATTCCATGTACTAAGTACAAATAATTTAAAAGTACATAGATTTACAAAATTCTAAACAGATTTTGAAAGTTATCTTTGTAATCGACACTGTTTACTTCCGTGTTTTTGATTGAAGTAGCTATTTCTATGCAAAGTTAAATCTACTTGTAGACACGCAAATTCTGCCTTCTAAATACAAAATGTTTAAATGTAATTTCGTTATTTATCGGTGTTTTATCTACATATTAATATGTGAAAATAAAAATTGCGCGGACGGAGGTGTATGAAATTTCACAGACTTATAGTTTATACAGAGGAGTGCAGAATGCTAATATATTTTTTTAATTATGCATACAAAATACATAAAATCAATAAAAAAAAATTACACACACTAACATGTAATAACAATATATATATATATATATATATATATATATATATATATATATACTGTTTTGTTTATTATTAAAGTCTAAACAAGTCCAATTGAGAAAAGATTAATATTATTTGTCTATAGTCTTACTGAATATCAAACATAATCATAATAAATTCATTTATCACTATATATGTATATAAGAACCGTAAGATTACTATATAAATGAGATTTTTAAATTCTGTTACTAATCAATATTAATTAATATTAAAAACGATCGGAAACGCAGTTTCATTAGCAGACTTAAAAGTACCTACCGGCAGTACAATTTTTCTACATTACTGAGAATTCAACCGTTCTTTACAAAAACTGTCCACATTACAAACGTACAAGGGCTCACCTGCATTCTCTCACCGCCGCTTGGGATATCACTATTGCTTTCCACAACAACACTTACGTGGGATACATTTTCATAAGTATTCCCCTTGGATAAACTTCTTGATGTGATAAGTCGCAAATTGTATTTGTACAGCGACCGTAGGGGTTTATGACGTGCAAGGTTACCTTTTATAATAGGTAACAGTCCTCCCCATTGCGTCACGATGACCATCCATTTTATAATCGCAAATGGGAATACGTATGATTCTACGATTGTAAAGAGTATAATGCTAACATTCATTACCATGGTGATATTCATAGTGAATATTTCTGTCAATCTACGAATTAATTGCGGCATTTCCTAAATTTAATAAACAGTTTATTACATTTTGAATGACTCTGCTTTAAGGTTTGAATAAACTGAATTTTGATACGGGTAATGTATGTTTTCCTATGTTGAGTGCCAAAATATTCAACAACTTCAAAGAATATTTGGTTACCTAAGCTATTTTGGAACGATCGTGAAAATAGTTGTTTCTTTGACCACGTACCGGCTAAGCAAAACGAGACTAGACTTACAGATTCTCTAGAAATTACAGATCCTTTGCGACCTTTTTGGGTTACGGATAGTTGCATATAGAATTTTAAATAACTATTTTAATAAATAACTATTAATAAAATAGCTATATAATGCAAGAATTTTAGATTTACATTTAGTAAAAAGTTTATACTTATAAATTAGTTAATATAAATGTTATTCCACGATCACTAGTTTTTTTTAAATAAATTATTATTTTATGCAATAACACAAAGAAACTATATTTATAATAAAATATACACCAGGCCATCAATATAGTACGACTATACTGGAGAGTAAGTACTGTTTTATGATGGCAAAGCATAATTTAATAATGTAGAACGGCATACTCGTTCTAGTTCTTTAAATGGAATTAGATCGTATTATACACGAGTAACTTACTCGTGTATAATACGATCTTATATTTATTATATGTTTACATTACTATTATTTACAACCTTAACGATTCAAAATCAAGTTTGAGTTTGATGCGAGTTATTCGTGATCGAAATCTAATAAACTTAATAAAAGTTAATAATTTTAATGAATAAAAGATGCATTAAATTTAAATAAGTTTTTACGCCATATCGTCATAGTCGTAGAATACTGACGGATCTGATGAATATTACATATATAGATCCGTCAATATTCTACGACTATGACGAAATCTGCTTGGGGTCGGTAACCTCATCCACTCATCTTCATTTGCAGTCGTTTCGTTATTTACTCCCTTTCTGGGCATGCCACTTTTAACACAGTTCATATATTTCTTTTTAGGTTTTCCTCACATTTGAACCATATCCATAAGTATACCTAACACATGCCATTGAGACATAAGATTGAGATTATTTAAAAGTAAACTAAATGTTATGTCTTCGGCTTTCGTAGGGGGTTAAGGTTGTTGACAATATTTTTGCAATTTGGTGTTTTAGCTACCACAATGATTATTTTTGAGTTTCTAATATAATATTTTTGTTTCAAGCTACTGTTCTAAAGCCTTGATTGATAGTTAACAAGATATCAATTATCAATCATCATCATATTATGCGTTAACTGTCCACTACTGAACATAGGCTTCCCCCTTGGGGATATTGGTAGTAGTTTCCTTGACAGGCGGATTAGTAACTGCAGTTAGTTTTTAATGATGTTTTAAGAGGGACGTTTCTGTCCATCCCTCGACCATTAAGTTCCCTTAGTCGTCTCATACGGCACGCATGGAAAAGGAAGGGGTGGCCAATTCTATGTCTGGACTATACAGCAGTATCCTTCATAACCAATCTAGAACTAACAAATATATAGCAGAAACAATCTACCCCTAAATCAACCTACCTATTAAATCTAACAACCCGTCAAGCCATTTAGACGACATTGCGTCAAAGACATGAATAAATCTTTATACCTGAAAAACATTACAATCTGTAAGTTTTCTTTACAAAAGACATAATTTTATTATTATTTTAATTTAAACCATAGCCCGCTAAATGATGAGAATTAACACAGTAATTTCCATATTTCATCCATCAAGAATAACATATTCCTATCAAGGAGATTGATCTAAGGAGTTGATTCGCACAAAAATATTTATGTTTGCTCCTTTATCATTGTTATGATAATCGGCATTTGTTATCCTGTGCATAATCATTAATATTTACGATGTTACGTATTACGGTGGTATCTACACAGATATCTTTCATCTGTGCACGTGCAAATCCTTGGCGTACTTTTTTGTCAGTCAAAATAGAACATGAGTTGCATTGCTTATCGCGCATGAATCTACAGCAAGTCCCAAGCGATACAATAGGAAATCTTTTGTTAAGAGTGGACAAAGATCTCCCGTCTGTATGAAGCATCTACTTATTACATTTTTAAATCTCATTCTTACACAATATTTATATAGATAAGAAAGCAGTGCAAAATGCTTTGTCAGTAGGAATAATCGTCATCATTATTAATAACCAAGTTAGATATATTATTATGAATAAAATTGTTAATGATTGCATTTGTACTATAATATTATATTTATTTAGTAAGTATAATAAATCATCTTTATTATTTTAAGTTTTATTGTTTGTAGATGTAGACTGTGGTGTTTATATTATTAACCCTTAGATATATAAAGCATACCTACATGCTCAATGGGCTCTTTTATAATTTACCATAATAGGCCATAGTATTATATGATAAAGTTATCTGTCAATTTTCAAGAAAGTAATAATTTTCAAATTTTCTAAATGATTGTATAAAAAGTGATTTTGTATTTATATAGAATATTTATATAATAGAACAACTCACAAGCAGTTGCACAAACCATTAATTTTGTTCGAAATTTCTAACAGTTTCACTATCATATTTTGAAATGTCTTTATTGCACGATCAACATTTTAGTTTGCTAAGAATATTTTTAAAAGCATTAAGGTAAATTTTTAAAATTGTTTACAACATGGCATTCAGATTTATGAGAAACCTTACAATATAAAGTAATGGGCTCATATAGGTATAAAATATAACTATTATTATAATAATATACTACCTTCATTAATGAAACAAAGTTTAATCACATATAATGAAATAAATTCAATTTGTTATTTGTACATGTAAGAAATGAAATAATTTAAAATATCTGTATTAAAATGCATTCATGAATAAAAGATGCATGTAACTTGTTTTAAATTTAACTCACAAAGATGTGGGTAAATGTTATATTCATAAAATATTTAAATTAGTTAATAACTCATATTTAAATGTAAAATTAATTGGACTGACATATGTGTATTTTGTTGAGGATTATTGGCTTTTACCTGTCTTATATCAACCCTATCATGATCATAATAAAATTATGTATAACTTATCATATATAATATTGAGTGCCTTGTTCTGACAATAGATACTATGCACTAAGAGAAACAAAAATTTTGTCATGGCTACAATTGATCTAACTTTATTTTAATCTCTCACTGGTATATGGTTTTTTAATAGATGATAAGGATGATAACCCTGCCTATACAAATTGAATAATAATATGCTGACATAGTACCAGTGAGGGATGATAGGCGAGATTTCAGCACTTGGAATCCAGCACAATGGTTTCTAAGGGCAACCACATGGAGGTTGACCTGACAGAGGGTATATTGCTAGCAATGGGACTGGAACTCCGCATTACTTCCCCCCACAGGTATATGGTTAATACAAACCAACAGTAAAGGAAAAGTTTTTAAGAAATCAAACAATAATCCCGACAGTACTGTTTACAGGAGCGAGATACCAGTGAGGAATGATAGATGAACATGATTTCAAGTTAATTTATCATTAATTAAAAATGATAGTTTCCAAGGGGGAACGCATGATGGTCAACTTGATAAGGCATACTATTAACAATGGGGACGTTAGTCCTTTTTTATCTATCTTTTTCTTGTGGTGAGTGGTGATGGTGGGGTTCCAATCTATTTTCATAGTTCTATTTTCAATAATAAAACTGATTTTGACCTTACAATATTAGCAACATAAGAGTGTTGCTAGCATATTAGTATATCTTTTAGAACTTTAAAGAGTGCAGGTGTATTTTTAAGTTATGTGTGTATAAGAACATCCTTTTCAGAGCTATATTGATATCTATTGTAGATGTTCATTGCAGTTATTAAAACAAATATAATTGAAATATAGTAAAATTTTATATATTTTTATGGTATGATGCAAAAACTAACAAATGGGTCATAAGAATCAGGACCAATATTTATCATGTATCTGGAAATTAAAAGTAGGTTACAAGCTGCAGTACATTTAATGTGTCGGTGACTGTAGCTTGACAATATTAGATGTTAATAAATATACTTACATGATTATTATCATAGCGTAAAGCGAAATTGTTAACATGATTTTCTTCCATATCGAAATATATCTATGTTAACAAATCACAAGGTTTGTTAGAAGATATCACAAAAATGGGCAACCTGGTTTTTAATTTTTACTCTTGGTAAATAAAGTAATAAAGTAGTGTTTTAATTTTTATCAGTAAGTAATATTTAATTTTAAAAAATTACATGTACGAAACATACAAAAACAAACAAAATTCGAAAATGATAATAATGTCAAGTGAATCTTGTTGTCAAATTTAATAAATGATATTTCTTTGTGTCAATGTCATATAAAAATTATGGCAGCTGGCATTTATAGTTTGTAGTTTTGGTTGAGGCAAAAGAAATAGTAATATACAACCATGTATAATAAATATTTTTTCGTTATTGTACGTAATTATGTTATATATATCTATGACTGTACTTGTATGTTTGTTATCTACACAGTATGTACTATTTCATACGTTTTACATCTAACAGTAACTTGGTAGGTTAGTTGGATAAGTTGAAATTGGTTAATCAGTTGATTTTTTATTTCGAATGAAATGAAAAACTTTTTTTTATAAAATTAAATTAATATAGTTATACTCATTTACTTATATTTTACACCTATATTAAGTTTATTATTTTTTACACAAATTTTTAATTACATTTAGGAGGCGTACCCCGCGACTTACATACTTCTAAAGTATAAATTCTTACAGGTAATAACATTCGTATAGGTAAGTTATTAAGTATCGGAACTGTGTGGTTAAAATGTTATAATCTGTCAATCATGCTCAAACGGCTAAACGAATTTAAACTTTTTGTAAATATGTTTACATAGGTATTTTTTAATTTAATGCACTGTGAACTGATTTATTTGGACAAAGCTGCGAGACAGCTGGTAATTATAATTTATCATTAAAATGTACTTATATGATATGTATGTGATATTTTTACGGAACCCTTGATATTTAAGCCCAACTCATACTTTATCACTAGGGATTGCATCGAATATTCAAATAATTCGAATGTTATTTCAGAATTAAAATTCAAATGGTAATAGGGATGGGCAACAGCGTCCCATTTCTAAAATCCTAACTACAACACGTCTCCCAAACGTGACAACTAATGGCAAAATTCACGTTATGGGGAAGGCTTATGTTCAGCAGTGGACAGCTAACAGTTAAAAAAATAATGATCCAAAGAGTAAATCAGTGATATTTAAATATAATCGAATAATTTTATACTCACATTTTTATTAATATAATAGAAAAATACACTTAGTAAAATCAATTTGAGTTTCTTAATTTAACTTCCAGTAGGTATATTATATTATTTTCTTCTTGACGAAATTAATCCCGGTAATTGGTACCAGGGTTCAACTTCCGACTCGATCTAATCTCGAATTTTATTTGGTCTTTGATGTCTTTCACTGGTTTTTAGAATTTTTTCATAAGAATTCTGATATAAGAAGATTTGACTATCAGCAAGGATTGCAGGGCATATACGAGTATTCAATGTTCATTGTTTATCGTAGTCTTAGACCGCTATTCTAAAGCATATCCTTCCAGATATTCACTTTGTGTTATAAATCCTCTTTATTTTAAATGGCAACTGCCTTATCATTAGTTAATTCATACATTAACAGTCACGGAGACTGGCCCCATAATTAATTAAGACTATATTAAATAATAATGGACAATAAGGAGAGGAAGTTAGACTACGATTCGGTTAGTGTCGCCATTGTGGTACTAACAATGAAATGAAGTTATGATACGTGCTATGCCAGTGATACTTGTGTGCCAGAGATGCACATATTTGAATTGGCATAGTACACGTAAATATTATTTTAAAAAGTCTGAAAGATGCACCTACAAAGGTGTCCTTAATTATGTATGTATTACAACGAATCTGAGCAAATATTGAGTCTGTAGGTTTCTCGTGTTTTTTTTTATACGCCAAAGAGATTTTAGTTAAATCTAAGAAGGCGTTTTGACAGGTAGATTATTTGAGTATTCTCAATAAACAATAACTATCCTTCGGAGATTATCTAAACAGCCCTAGGGATAGCGTAAATTTCACAACGTGGGTTTTTAACACATACGTAGAAATTTTATTATGCTGCGTGTGATTATTCTACCACTATATCTTTTTGACAAATACTTATTTTCTATTGCTTCTTATTTTTTATCCGTTTAACTGCTGAGGTAACGAGATCGTACGTGCCAGATAACACTCAATCTCTAGCTTATTTTCGAACATGCCCATTGAGTTTCCCAATGTAAGAAAATACTCTATTAATAAAGGAATATACTTATTTGTTATTTTTCTAATTCAATTCATCATCATCATCGTATCAACCATTAATTGACCATTGCTGAATATAAGCATTCCCCATAAAGGGAGTTTTGCCAGTAGTAGCCACGCTTGGGAGGCGAGTTGGCAACTGCAGTTAGGCTTTTAGTGATGTTTTAAAAGGGGCACTGTTGCTAATCTTATTTACTATGAAGTTTCTTAAGTCGCCTCTTACGACACCCATGGGAAAGGAAGGGGTGACTTATTCTATATCGAGACCACATGGCGTTCTTTTGGGTTATTCGAACTGTCTTGAAAAAAAATCGAATATTCGTGTATCAAAATTATCGAATACAAGCGCTCATCGCTTTTATTTGTAGATTTATTTATGATATCAATTTATATATAATCACCTCATTTATCTATGTTCATACTTCAAATATTGCAGGCGTTGATACAGGAACATATCTATTACCAGGCAGGCCTTATGGATACAGAGCAAATTCATGGTAGATATAAATAATATGTTTATTTGAAATAATCACTTAAAAACACAAGTCATGTATCTTTATCAGATGACGTATCATATATTTTTAGTATTTATACTGTTTTACAATGACGGGCATTTTAGTTTCTCTTTGTAGAGTGTTAAGTGTGGTGATAAAAATTATAGGTATCTGTGACTACTGAATAGTGTTTGGCTGAAGAAAAATGGCTCCAGAAATTAAATATACTAAGGTAATAAGTAAACGGTGCTTACATAAACAGCTACATTATCTTAATAAATGATTTTTATTTAGATGATTTAGATTTCTATGAATATTGCTGAATATTGAACATATATTTTAACTGGTTTTAGAAAGGAGAAGAATTCATAATCGTTTGCATTTAAAAAAAATATAAAAAGGAAAATTATTTTATGTTACGAGTTATATTATTAATTATGAATTGGTTCTAATGATTATTTATAAGCTTTTTTATTCCTGACATTCTCGTAGTCTCATATTTTACTAAATACTAGCTTTTGCCTGCGATTCTGTATGAATTTTGGAACTATATAAAACAATGATATAGTCTACTTCTAGAAGGCAATTCAATCATTTGCCAAACTTGAAGTTAGAGTTCAAGAACACAAATTTGAAAACCTCGTCTTATTTGATGTAGTATTTTTTTGTATGATACCAGAACAAATATACAGACAGATAGACAAAAATAAAAAATAAAAAATACTGTTTTGGCTTCCATAGTTCTTATTAAGACTCCTAATATATTTTTTTTTATATATTTGCTATGTTAATGTACAGACGTTATGTTAATTAATTTTTTTATACCTATAAGTACGTTTTTTTTTATTCTGTGCAACAAAATTATATAATTATACTTACATGCCTACCAAGGTTATCTAATTATGGTTAGTTATACTAATATATAACCGTGAAGCAGTTGTGTTTGCATGGCTGTGTTTCGGTTTGAAGGGTGGGATATGGCGTGAATTTACAGGGTACAGAGGAATAACACTTGAGTCCTCAGGAATGGCAGCGCATGGGGGGTATCATGGACGAAACAGTATACTCTGTTATGTCCATGGTACTTCTCATGTCTATAGGCGACGGTTACCACTTTCCATCAGGTGGACCGTCAGCTGTTTGCCATTCTAAATTGTATAAAAATACTAATATATCTTAGAAAATATTTGATTGTTTACATCATTTGTTATTTCAATTCAAAATATAGTGGCGGGATATTGACTACTGTATTAGATGTCAATACTCTTGCTAGATATTGTACTGTCCAAAATAATTAAGGAGACCTGCGGATCTTAGTGATAATAAGCAACTATTATTTATCCTCGAGCCTTGAGACGACTTGGTATTACTTATTAAGAATATTTGTCACCGAAGTAACTATGGGCGAGCTGTCTCTACGTTAAGGCAAATATGAGATTTTTCATATTACCATATTTATCTCGAGTGTGAGTTTTATTTGATCCTATATAATTATTATGATTTGTGGAGGATCCGTGGCTAACGATATCGGAAAAAAGTAATGTATTCGTTATGTGTTGTATTTGCCCGAGCAAGAGTTTTTGCAAATTGTCTACATTCAATTTTTCATTCAAATTATTTTGGTCGTGTTTCTGTCACCAAATAACCGTGCTTGCATGATTATATTTCAGTTATGATGAGTTATGAAATTACTGGGTACGATGGTAATTCATGAGGAGAACTTTAAACATTACAGTTCAAATATTATGTGATGTTGGAGGTGCTGTTTTGAAGCTTAACCATTATTCTAAGTCGTGTAAAAAACCGCTCAGGTACGAGTTGAATTCACATGTCGAAGGTTTCGTACATAAATACATATAAAGAAATGAACTTGATTATATTTTTTTACGAAATAGACATCTAATAGCTATTATTATTGATATTGTAATTCGTAATTTCTTATTTTGGGTCATAATTGTGGTTAAAAATTGGATTGCATAATTAACTTTGTTTTTGGAGAGTTTTTGATAATTTTTCAAAAACAGTGCTAGTTAGAAACATCATTATATTTTTCCTGTAATATTCTCTTTATAGACTGTAATTTTTTCAGATATTTTTTTTATAGAAACTTCGGAGAATTACAAAGGAGGAATGTTTTTTTTTTCTCATAGTTTCGATCATAATTAAGAAACTACGCAACACAAAATTTAATAAAAGATAGTTTTAACGGTATCAATGAAGTCCATTAATATTATATCCCACTTAGGCTTGTAGGTCAATTTTAAAATTTAGAGTACCTGTTTTGGACCCCCAATAAGAAAATAAAAATATTTATTCAAATATTCCCATTGAAATTTAATTAGTGATATGTTAAACTTTTTTAAATTTCAAATTGGTAGTATTAGTAGTTGCTGAGATATAATACTGTGACAGACGGACGGACGGTTGTACAGAAGGACAGACGAACAAAGTCGCGCCATAAGGATTCCTTTGTACCTTTTTGATAGGAAACCCTTATATATAGGTGGTTACGTAAAAATGTATATTTGAAACGTATTATTTATAGACCTTACAAAATATACTTTTGTTGACAGCTTTTTATTGACAACGAGTGGGTGAACTCAAAGAGCGGTAAGACCTTCGATACGATAAGTCCTCAGAATGGGTCTGTTATTGCTAAGGTTTCCGAAGGCGATAAGGTAAGAGTTATTAATCTGTAGTTTATTAAAAAGTAATTTTAAGTAAATATTTTTTATAATTGTTTAGAACTTTTGTATGCTAGTGTGGTGGTAAATAAGCATACGTTCCGTCTGATAATAAACACTAGAGATTTTACGGTTGGTCGAGTCTTAAGAAACCTTTTTACACCATTTTTGAAGAACTGGGTGACGGAGTTTCTTGGGAAAACTTCTGCAAGAAATTTATTCCACAACCAAAATGTTCATGTTAGGGAACTTCTTCAAATTAGCGCTGTGTATATGACTATTTAAGTTCTAGAGCGTGAGTCTGAGTTTCCTGTCGACGTTGGACATCGTGGCATATAATTTCTCAGAACATAATTCTTATACACGTGATGGAATATTCAAAGAATATGCAAAATATTTTTTTTATAATACCTAGTTAGTCAAAGTGACCACACCTTAGTTAACGGTAACCAGTTAATGTGGTTTTTAATAAAGTCCAAATCTAGACTAGTGAACAAACTAAAAAGTGTAATACCATATGAGAGATAAACTCAGTTCCAAATTTAATATTCTAATTATTATTTATTAGGATGATATAGATGAGGCTGTGAAGGCAGCTCGCCGCGCATTCCATCGCAACTCTGAGTGGCGACTATTGGACGCATCAGAGCGCGGTCAGATTCTCCAGAAATTCGCTACCTTAGTAGAACGAGATGCCAATTACCTTAGCGAATTAGAGACTCTTGACAATGGCATGGTGCGATCCTTATCAAATATGTTAATTGCTAGCACCGTTAAAAGCATTCGGTACATAGCAAGTCTTGCAGACAAAATTCAAGGGGAAACAGTTCCTATTGGTAATTTTTTTTTCTTATTTTATATTTATTTGTAAAGATACTAAAATTCATACATATCTAATTCAATAAAAAATAATATTAATATCTATCTGATTGTGGCTTATACTCACTGATATTCATGCATACTTTCTCATTACTAAAATTATACAGCTGTATTTATTATACCTACTTGTTATATCAGAATCAAACTCAATTGAAAACTTTATTTCAAAGATGGCGACCAGTTTTCATATACACTAAGGCAGCCAGTCGGAGTTTGCGGTCTTATCTTACCATGGAATGTCCCAATATTGATGTTTGTCAATAAGGTGATGTCGGCTCTAGCTGCCGGTAAGTTAAATTTAAGGGTTCGTTTCTACAAAAAAAAACTCGAGTTCAATTGTGCCAAAACCATTTATTTTTATTGAAATCTTATATTTATTATCTTATATTATATATCTTTTCATTGCGTCGATTTATAAGCTTGATTTTTTCATTGGTTAAGGAGATTTCAATTTGATACCTTCACGCATCCCTAAGAAAAAGGGTCTTGACAGACGGACGGCCGGATAACGAAGTGATTCTATAAAGGGTCCGATTTTTTCTTTGTAGATATGAAACCTTAAAAACAACAAACCTCTTTTGTTTTTCAAATAATCTGATATCTATAATATTTGTCTATCTATCAATAATATTTCTGAATCAATAAACATTGATATTTGATAGAAAACACCATCATAACATCACATCAGTCGTTAACTGTCCAGTGCTAAACATAGGCCACCCCACCTAATGAGGGGGTACGGTAGATTGCCTGTATATAACCAAACTTCCAAGTGCAAGCAGGGCAGTCTACTTTTACTTACCTATATATGTACATAATGGACTTTAATATCTTACAAGGCATTCATATACGTGTGATCCTACCTATCACAACTTTTAAAATCGGATGTATTTAATTGATGTTTATTATTTTAGACTGATTTTTAAAGTATATCTATTTATTTTTGAAAGGTTGTACCGTTGTGGTGAAGCCTGCAGAACAGACCCCACTTACTGCGTTGGCTTTGGCGGCTCTATTGAAAGAGGCTGGTGTACCAAAAGGTGTGGTCAACGTGATCACCGGATATGGAGAGACTGCTGGAGTTGCTCTTACACATCATCCTGATGTTGCCAAGATATCTTTTACTGGATCTGTCGAGGTTTATTATTTATTTATATATATCTAAATTTGGAACAATTTTACAATAATAAAATTTTAAGAGTGTATTGAGAACAAACGTCATTTGAATTTTATTTAGAAAGGTTCGGTGATAAATATTAAAAAAAAACAAAAGATATTTAATTACTTTATTATTATAATGTTAATGCTTAATTTTGATTAAATGTTTACGTAGGTGGGTAAGCTGATTCAACAGGCAGCGGGTGCTAATAATCTCAAACGAGTAACGCTTGAACTCGGCGGCAAGAGTCCCTTAGTTATTATGGATGACGCGGACTGTAAGTTGTTTCAGTTTTTCTAACGAAGTTCCCAAGTTGGTGCAGTAACGACATAATATAATTAATATTATTATGATTGGATACTTGGCAATTTAGTAACGTGTAATAAAAATGTTATTAAAATATGGATATTAAATTCTAATAATTATTTTGAGTTTAAAAAAATTTGAAACAGTATTTAAATCTGCACTACCAGTGTAGTGAAGAAAAACTTAGGACGTGTAGATTCAAATTTTGTTTGTATCGATATTTTTCTATAACACAGTTACTGGTACATGGTTCTCATATTAAAAAGTATATTCAAATATTATTAATTTCTATTATTAGTTGACTTCACGTGATAATTACTTGTTATTTTTTAGTGAATTTGGCCGTGCCAATCGCAGCACATGGAGTATTTACTCACCAGGGTCAAATTTGCGTAGCTGCATCACGTTTGTATGTGCAATCTGCTATTTATGATAAATTTGTCCAAGCGGCTGTTAATTATGCAAAGAACATAAAAGTAGGAGACCCTAATGACAATACTACCCAACAAGGGCCTCAGGTGAGATAGAAATTTGTTGATAATTCAATGAACGCTGAAGGAAATTTTATTTCTGGAATAACGGCTCATTTTTATCATATATTTAATATATATTTGTAGGTCGATGAATTGATGATGAATAAAGTTTTGGGTTACATCGAAAAAGGTAAAAAAGAAGGAGCAAAGCTTTTGATCGGTGGTAAACGTATAGGCACCAAAGGATATTATCTTGAGCCAACCGTATTCGCGGACGTCAGAGATGAAATGACCATTGCCAAAGAAGAGGTAAGTAAATATCATTATTAAGAATTTTGTTCTGACGTAAATTGTAATAAATGTAAATTTGATTTTTTTTGTTTAGATTTTCGGGCCTGTGCAGAGCATCATTAAATTTGATACATTAGATGAGGTTATTGATCGTGCTAACAACACGAGTTACGGCCTCGCCGCTGGTATCATTACTACCAATATCAACAGTGCGTTGCAATTCAGTAAACACGTTGAAACTGGTGTTGTTTGGTAAATATTTTTAAAATACATATCTCTATATATATAATATAGAAAACGCAAGAATATAATTTAAACTTAAATATAAATTATCATTTTGTATAATTATTTGTTTAAAAATTTGCATTTTTTTTTATTATAGCTCAATATGTGACCTATAATAATGATAGATAATTATATAATTACATATAAATTTCCTTTACATTTTCTTTTAAAAGGTTTTGCATGTAAATCCCTATGGTTTGAAGCCCGCTATATTATAATATGTTAGCCCGCTATATTATAAAAATTTTTAATAAATAATACTGTAAAATTCAAAGAAAATTCCAGTTCACCGGTTTCATTTTACCTTTTCACAGCCTTATTATTTTTTTACAAACGAGTTATTTGTGAATTTTTCCATAAGGGTGAATCCGGTTAGATACTTTACATATTCATAAACGAAATGTTGAAGTAGGACACAAATAAGAATATATATTTTTATGTTAAAAATGGTATGCTGGTTTTGTTGCGTTGGCAAGGTGCTAATGATAGTCCTGGTATTTCAGGCGTATATCAGATACGACTACCGCTTCCGACGAACCGCATACCTGACTGCCACCGTCGTTTTAATATAGATAAAAAAGAATTTTGAGTGTATTTAGACGTTTTAAATATTTTGCAGGGTAAATACTTATCTGGCTAGTGGAGTTCAGGCTCCATTTGGTGGATTTAAAGATTCTGGACTCGGTCGCGAAAAGTAAGTAATTCGTTAATTTTTTTATCTTTATAATTTTTATAGTGTTATAATTTCAAAGAATATTATTTAAATAGTTTTAGCTAGCCAATTTAGCCAAGCCAAAGCAAAAACTAGCCAATTTTCTTCATACTATGTATTTTATACACAATTTTTGAAAAGAAAAAAATGTGTAGGTGTTTGTATTTAAAATGTTAAAACTGATTTTTTAAACACATCTATATGTTACTTGTATATTAAATTTGGTGTCTTATATTATTTATTAAACAAGAAAAGACTAATAGTTTTCCTGAAGCCAAGGAAATACGTTGATAATTATTTATTAACCGTAATAACAATAATGCTGTACATGAGTACTCGTATATTTACTTTCCTTTTATATACATGAGTAACTGATAAGAGATTCTAATATTAAACAGGGATCTACATAATGTCCGTTTATTTTTCAGTGGTTTGCATACTTTGGATCCCTACTTAGAAGTGAAATCTGTGATCATCTCTCTTCCTAAGAAACTGTAGTCCTATACCTAGTTTAAGATTTGAAAACATCTTGATGTTTGATATTTTATTGAAGTGAATTGACGACCTACCTCCAAGCAAGCCAAGCAAGAGTGGTTTAGAATACAAATTACGTGTAATTTTATCAGAATACTTGTTATTCTATGATTAAAATAAAAGTTACATTGGATACAAATAACTTTCTGTATAACTATTTACATATTGTAAATGTAGTAATTAGTGTATTTAAATTAAGAATTTTAAAATAGTACAACTAAAAATTTTATGGTTTTTCTAGGACAGGTTTTAATGTAGCTAAGTATTTTTAAAATATTGTATTACGTAATTTTTTCTCGACTTTGAAATATTATAATTTTAGAATTTATTTTGTGATTTAAATGTTTTAACTATGACGATTATTGCAATATTTAAAAAGGTAATTATTGGAAATAAACTAAAATTAAACTTGCATTTTTTTCTTATTAGAAAAAAGTAATGGGGGAGAAGCATATGTATGTAATAGTCAATTTTCTCGCTAATTCCTCTTGGTTGTAACAAAAACATGTTATGAATCGTCTTATCATAGACATTGTGGTAATAATAATTGTATCAACTTATATCACAATTAATAAGATTAGGTGATATAATATCGCTACAGACATAATATTATATATAAGTGAGTTAGATATGTTATCAGTTGTATGCTACTATGCTCTGTTATTTTTTTTTTACAATTCATAATGACAAACATTCTGATGACTAATATGCTGTAAAAGTATAACCATTACATATAGACATGAACAATATCATAGATACCGCAGTAACAATTTTTATGACAGTAGTTCCTTCTTATACGTTACTATTTCCGAAGACTAAATACGCCATATTATGCCTTTGGATCGTGTAATTTTATTGTCATATCTTTCATACTGAAATATACATATTCGAGCACAGCTGCTTCGCGGCAGAAATATGCGTGGAATAATAGGTACCCAAGCTGGTGACTCGTACAAAGTCTTACTCTGTTGTAATCTATGGTTATGATCATGTTTTCGTTTTGATTGCCAATTGGGCTCATATAAATATTTAAATGTTCGCAATAGTTAAACATTTTATTTTATTTTATATAATTTTTTTTAAAAGCTTATTTGGTGAAAGAAAAACAAAGATTTGGAGACGACAATGGCTATGCGTCTGTTGGCCAAGTAGTATTTATTTATTTATACTTTATTTTATACAAATTTATACTAATATTATAAAGAGATAAAGTTTGTGAGTTTGGATGTTTGGGGTAATTTGCAGTACTACTGATCCGATTTTGAGAATTTTTTCACTGTTATCCCTGAGTGCTATAGACTACTTTTTATTTTGCTAAATTTATATTTTAAATAATTAACTACAATAAATGTAATTAAAGACGTCAAAAGTTATAATATAGCGTCTAAATAAATAAATAAATTAAGTCTATAATATAGCGTGCATTGCCTGAACAGTTTGAAATAAAAGAATTAAATCTATAGTAAATACATTCATTACTAAAAGCAACTTTAAGTAGTTTTAAAAAAAAATCCATAACTCCATATATCTAATATCTCTACCAAGAAGATGGTTTATATATATATATATATATATATATATATATATATATATATATATATATATATATATATATATATATATATATATATATATATATATATATATATATATATATATATATTATACAACTTAGAATGGCAAACAAGCCGACGGCCCGCCTGATGGAAAGTGGTAACCGTCGCCTATAGACATGAGCAGGACAGTGAACATAACAGAGTATACTATTTCGCTCATGATACCCCCCATGCGTTGCCATTCCTGAGGACTCATGTGTTATTCCTCTGTACCCAGTAAATTCACGCCATATCCTACCCTTTAAACCGAAAAACAGCCATGCAAACAGCTGCTTCACGGTTGAAACATGAATGGGACAGAGAGAATATTAAAAGTAAAATAAATTTTACAAGCAGTTCATTTTAATATCTTAGAGAATATTAGAGAAGTACACATGTACACGCAAAAGTATAAATTTAATATATATAATAAATGATATAATATATAAAAATATGACAAATCTGAGCTTAACTTTACAAGAGTTTTTTTCCAGAAACCCAAGTGGAAAGGAGCATTAATGTCAGGGGGTAGAGCGGTGAACAATACTCTGACAAAAGGAGCTAGACAAACTTAAGTGTATACATAACCAATTATGTTATATTTAGTTATACACATACATATAGATATAATTATATAATTACATATACATACATATATATAAATAAAATATTTTCATAAGGATAGAAGATGCTCTTTAAGGCTTCTCTTTAAAATATTGAGGTGAAGAAAAACTTAGGTTCCTTTTTATCATGGACAAGCAGTATATTTTGGTAATGCAGACGAAGTCAAAGGTAAACATCACTTGAAAATAAATGGGTGAGAGTAGGAGATATACCTACTGTTATGTAGCAGCAATGACAAATCTTCGTGTCGTCGGACAAGCTTCGTTAATCATGTTGAAACTTAGTCAAACACAATAGGTTACTATATTAGAACACATATATTATTATTTTAGTTAAAGGGTTAAAGACTTGTACATTGCTTCTCAGTATTGGATTATTGTTTACTAAGATTTATTAGAGTAGAACCTTAATGAAGTGTTACGAAGTTTAGGCAACATAACGATTATTTTAATCAGTTTAGGTAATACGAGTATAGCGATGAACAATGAAATGTTTTGCATATATTTTAATTTAGAACGTAGAACCGTGCGTTTAAAAGTTTTTTTTTTTTTTGATGAAAATGGAATGATGCTTCCACTTATATTAACAGTATACAATAGCAAGACACTAGTGAAGTATGAAACGATGAGGATGAAGCTAGGTCAGATAGCTCTTAGTAGCGAATTCACTAGGAGTTGACGATGATGGTTTCCAAGGAACTACGTGGAGGTCGATCTTACAGGATAGTGATATTAAAATATATGAGAAGATTAGTTCTAATTGCTAGCAAGCAATCGGCCCACTCTCTAATAACATTGTGGGACAAAAAGATGTGAAATGAACTTCTAACTTCGTCAATATAATTAATAATTTAATTATATTAATCATTTACAAAATTACAGAATAGGTACTTCATTATTGTTAAAATAGTTACCAGTGTAAGTAAATTTAACCATTTTTTTATCTACGTAAATAGTTATTTGTATTTCTTCATCATCTCAGCTATTATCTGTCCACTGCTTAACATAAGCCTCCCTCCATCGACTTTAATAAAGAACCGTCCTGAGCCACCTGCTTCATTACCATGTCATCTTCTCAAATAAATTGACTCCCTGTAATGTATTTGAGGGCATTACTTCATCTAGTGGGGGGTCGTCCTACATTGTGTTTGTTAGTATGGGGTCGCCACTCAAGAACCTTCCTTTCTCATCGGTTGTCATCAAGCTATGTAACCAACCTATTGCTGCTGAAAAGCAGCTTGTTTATCCTTCTTTATTTTTCTTTAAATTATCATTATCATATTACTATGTTTAGAAGTTATCGTTCTCGACGTCAAATAATAATAAACTCGGTTCTTGATAACAAAATTTCGATAATATTGACAAATATCGCTCGTCTCTATCTGGAGAATCATCGAATGTCACATTCTATTTAAGTTATTGCCATTTGCCACAGTATCTATAATAGGAGCCTGATTCCGTAGCACCTTATTTATGGTTGCTGGCCTACTGCTTAACGTGACTGGAGTTTTGTGGAGCGTTGGGTTATTGAAATTGAACATTAATCATGATCACCTGACATTGATTGATAATGGCTACGTGCCAATATACTCAGCGAGACGGATACCGCAGAATATATTGTGTTTTTGCTATGCAAATAATGCCTATTATTAGGTGAATGCCAAATAATGGAATCGCTAAACGTTATTCAAGCAGATTTAATTAAATTCGTCAGATAAATTCGGTTGTCGAAATATTTATTCTGAGAGATTATTTTTAATACCTAAGTAGGTGAAATTGCAAGCAAGCTATAAAAACAAGAAAATAGAAAAAAATCTAATTATTATCAAGTGTAATAACTATGATGGATATTATGTCTATGTAATAAAACATATCAATTTATTACACAAATATAGATTACATATACATTTTTTAAGTATAAGAATCCCAGAATTATGTTTTTTAGCTTTTTAGCGTTTTTACCTTTCTATTTTTGGAAGGCAGACGTAACAACGTATTATGTACTGTAGAAGACGTCTACAACGTTACGTTTTCATAACTTAATTTTCACTTTGTACTAGATTACGTAAAAAAAAATTATACAATCCTTATAGATAATATACTTGATTCAGTTTACATACATGTATACATATCTGTCACGCCTGACTCCCATTAGGGTAGGCAGAAACAATGGCATGCCAAATGCTTCGATTTAAACAAGACACTTTTGCTTCTTCCACATTTTACTCTTCTTTCACAGTTTAATCGAAATAATACACGGCTGCACATATAATACAGTCATTTTAAAAATAGTTTAAAGTTATAATTCTGATATGAAGAGAGATGTAAATAAATAAATTATGTGCAGACGTTTCAATTTATATGATAACATATTATCATAAATTCATATTACATAGGTATTGTCTTTATAAGTAAGTTTTCATATTATAGAAACCGTGTGTAGTGATGGCTTCACAGAAATGGACGTAGACAGGCCCTCGACTCAAAGGCCAAGGCTATAAACGCTGCGAAATAATACCTGACAATATCACTTAACTCATGTGATATGTATGTACTGACACGCATTTTTTTCTCATGCCCATTGTTATACGAAAAATAAGCAAAATAATATGTTATGAATAGGGTTATTTTCATTTGTTAATTGTTGCCTTTGTATTGAACATAATACTCCAAAATACCTACATTCTGCAATCAGAGATTGAAACGGAGATTATCGTGAAAATCTGGAGAGAAAATGGGACGCTTCTTAAACCCTTAATCTAATCTACGTGGGAGTTAATATTATTAAGCTCGTATGGTAATGGTAAGTAATCATAAATCTTAACTTTCAGGATTTAAACTTTTCCAGATAGTACTTAAATAAATTACAGTTATGTAGAGTACCAACTTTAAATGTAGATTCATACTTACAAAATACAAAGATATACTCGTATCAACAAACTGTAAAGCTTTGTTCGATAATATTCAGCAACACTTAATATTTACATTATTATACAGGTATTCTTCATCTTTGTAATATCGTCTACTATAAAATACGCCAACTTCATTGAAATTTGAAGAACAATCTACTACTCTTATTAATTGATATTCAGACATTTTAGGTCACTTGATACCTGCGTAGTATTTGAATTATTAAAAAACTTTATTAAAGATTGTTAGAAGATAGAACCATGATAATTTTATTTCTTCTCATAACCTGAGCAGACGAGGTACATTTTGTACACCAATAAGATTTCATTTTATCTTGGTTTCATTTTTTGAGTCCGACGAGATGTAATGAAATGTTTATGACTATAGAGTTTTAATAGAGTTTAATGAAAATGTAACTAAAGAAATAATTTGCTATGACCATTAATTTTATTTGTAAATTATCTGTGATAATTTCAACAACATTTACCGCTGGCAAAATGTTCATTGTCCGTTACTCTTCCTCTGCATAGAAAGATAAAATATTGTAAATAATACTATTTTAATAATACTTTAGCTAATAGTATATAAGTTAAAGCAGTAGGCTGGTCATATCTACCGAATGGGAGACGGCAGATGAGGGAGAAAATTGTTGGGATTGAGGCCGTCAGTTCAAGTGACAATATCAGAAAGAGAGCGGGTATAAAAGGTTTCAAAAAGCAAAGAATCTCATATCGGTATTGGAAAGCATTAAAGAAGTATTATATCCAGCTTTGGAGCGGAATATACTGATAATAATAAAAATAAAACAATACGTTAATAAACATATATTTATATAACTAGTTTTACCCGCATCTTTAATATAATAGAGGCATTTAGAAGATCGAGCGTAATGAGGTAAATTTTCGTCAAATTTTGAGAGTTGAGAGAAAATTGAATTCAAATTGGTGTAGTGGTTTTGACGTGATTGTGAAACAAACATACCTACAGACAGAGACAAAAATTCTGAAACTAATTGTTTCGGTGTCTAATACTAAATAAAGACCCCTTATGTATTTTTTTTATAATTGTACTAGCGACCCGTCCCGGCTTCACACGGGTGCACATTACATCACATCACATTAGAAACCTCTAAAATTATCAGTGTTTCTCTACTGTATTATACATATAAATCCTCCTCTTGAATCACTCTATCTATTAAAAAAACCGCTTCAAAATCCGTTGCGTAGTTTTAAAGATTTAAGCATACATAGGGACGGACAGACAGTTTTATACTATGTAGTGATATGTATATATTTTATTTTTACTTTATATGATAAAAATGGCCTAGATTAGGCCACTCTTTCCTTTTCCGTGGGCGTCG